AGTGTGATATTACAAACTTTCACAGTCTTGTCTTAAGCAAGCTAAGCAAAGTTTAATTACCTGCCATGTAAGGAATGAACACTCAGCACAACTGCTGAGAAATTGGATGCTTTGAGATTCAGTAGTGTTCGTGCAGATGTCTCTTTCAGGGCTGGAAGCAAAGCAAAGGGGATTGCAAATCTGTAGCTGTTTCCTTCTAAACTTTTGAAGAAGTTCTTCATGGAAATAGTTCTTAATTAACCTTTTCTTTGCTGCTTGTAAGCCAAGGCTTGCAGCAGAGCCCTAGTGTGTCAGACGTAAAAGGGGGAAACAGAAGTGAAAGAGAAATATCCCAATCTTTCTTTTCTCCATCCCGAAAGCCATAAGAAATTGAACATGAAAGAGCAAAGTGACCCTGTAATTTGGTGATTTTTGTTGGTGAGCACTTGACTTCTGGTGCAAATATGTGCATCTTTAAAACTTGCTAAATCTAATGATAACTTGTCAAGTGACAAATGCATTTAAAATAATAGCAACACTTTTTGGTGGCTTATGAGTGTCCTTTTGAGAGATGAAAAAGTGTCTGTTGGGCCACGGAGCTGTCACAGTGCTTTGTTAGTTAATGTGATCCATTAGAAGCATTTTTCTATTTCTGTTGTGTTTTCTTCAAATTTTCCTCATCTCATTATTCTGCTAGATCAAGTGCTAAGAATTAACTTGGTTTTAATAAAAGATCCATCTGTGAGGCTAGAGCAATTGGAACCAAGTCTTACTGTTTATTTTGCTGTTAGTGCTCATCAGATACATGACCTAAGTTACCTATTTACCACTGAGAAGCTGTGCTTGGTACCATATAAAGCAAATAAATAGACTTGAGAGTCTATAAATCAGAGCCCTGCAGCATCTGAAATCTTGTGGTGTCTGTGCTTTCTACCTTAATGATGATTTCAGTGTTGTTTTGAACAACATTTTATTCAGTAAGGTATTAAGTCAGGATTGTCTTTTGCGAAACTTCATTTTAGTAGTTTAGGTACTTCTCCCAAGTACTCAGTATACAGCAAGAGAGAAAGCTGTACCTATTACTTACAAATATGAAAAGGGAAGGTCAGCTAAAATGGCTAAATTTGTCAGCTTGTTAGGAGTTTTTACTCCATTGAGAGTTCTGACCCTGTAATGTGAAGTAATTCATCAAA